GAATGTACTGTAATGCCATGAAATTGTACAATTACACAGGGTTTAAGGGGTTAGGGTGGAGATCAGCGGTAGAGGGTTTGTATAGCATGCACAAGGACCTGGACCCAGTCCCCAGCACTCAAGAGAGGAAGGGTGGAAGAGACTTAAATTTTACATTGTATACATTTTCCACAATGAAAAGAATGGGAAAACTCAATATGTTAATGATATTTAAGTTTATCACAATCAAAAATAAATAAATAAATAAACTGGTGTGGATTGCAAGGGATGAATTTGGCAAGAGAAGGAGACAATGACCTCATGTCCTTGATTGTCCACATAAATAAAGCATTATCCATAAGATGGGGGAAAAATTCATTTGAAACTGAAATATTTGCCTATCTTTAATCCTATAACCATTGAATCACTTAGCTGAAGTACTTAATTTTATTTTAAAAATGGTAATAACACGTCTTTGCTAAGTTTATTCAATTTTATTAAACATAGGTTATTTAAACCGTTTAACGAGAAAATAAGTATCTTAACATCTGTCTGTAGACAGTATACTTAATTCTTAGCTGTTAAAATGTTTCTATTTGAAAGTGGGACTACAAGCCGGGCGATGGTGGCGCACGCCTTTAATCCCAGCACTCGGGAGGCAGAGGTAGGCGGATCTCTGTGAGTTCGAGACCAGCCTGGTCTACAGAGCTAGTTCCAGGACAGGCTCCAAAGCCACAGAGAAACCCTATCTCGAAAAACTAAAAAAAAAAAAAAAAAAGAAAGTGGGACTACAGAAAGAATAACAAACTGCTTGTAAGTAGCTTAAAAATTAAATGTTTCAAAAGCACTAAATATATCCATCACATCAAAACTAGTTGAAAATATGATGCTCATATGAAGAGACCCTAAGATATATACAAGGTTCAAAGTGAAAACAATGGCAAAAGTGAAGTATGTGTCCTTTCAGTTCCCTTCTCAGAAAATAAAAACACCCTGATGTGCACTCGGGTTTCCCCCAATCTTTCACATCCTCAGCTCACCCTGAGTTCTATTTGTTTTGTCTTATTGTTCTAGGGGGGACAGAACTCTACTCTAGGAGAGTAGAAGAGATAGATGATAGGAACAAAGTAGATAACAGAAGAAAAAGAAACTATTGGTCATTTTGAACTCCTTACATTGAACCCTAAAGGCATCATCATGAAATGCTAATGACCCCACAACTAAATTCCTGAAGTAACAACATAATCTAATTCGAATGACCAGGAAACCTTTTGCAGGATCACATCTATAAATTATACATGCAAGCTGAATCCTTCAGAAACCCTTGACTGTAGTACAGCTCAGCAGTGAAATACAGAGATGTGAACCTTGGTCACAAGGGTGTAACAGTAAGTTGTTCAACAGCTTTCTAGTCAAAGTGAGATCACCTAAAGAACTTTAAACCTAAGTGCTCACTAAACAAACAAACAAAAAAATGCGCCAAGGTTTTCATGCAGCACTACACAGCACAAGGAGATAACTATGCAACCTGTTAAAAAACGAGCTTAAAGGTACAACTTCAGGGCCAGAAGAAGGCTGGCTCACTAGGTAAGGATACTTGCTTGCCCCAGACATCACAACCAGAACTCCATACCCAGGAGCCATATGGTAGAACACCCAGCTCTTTCAAATTGTCCTCTAACTTACATAGCCACACCCAGTGTATACAATATTAAAATATGGAAAAAATTAAAGACAAAATTTTACAACACTTTCATGGAAAAAAAGAGTAAGAAACTAATTTAGCTGTGAGAATTCCAGACACTCTTGTAAAAGAGTCGTTATTCCAAGATCCCAGTGACAAGTGTGAAGAACTCTGAAATGGATCATATCAAATAAATGTCCTCCCTATACCCATAACACGGCAAGTGCTCCGAGAACCGGAATATAAGACACTAAGCTGAGACAATCCTATGTTCCTTCTCATGCACATTATTCCAAAAAAATTCTCTTTAGTTCTCTATAATCAAACTCTTTCCAAAAATAAGAAAATAAGTAATAGAAAACAAAAACTTGGATACTAAAACATAAAACACCTGGGTGCTAGAATATGTAATATAGATGCTCAGCAGATTTTCACCCCAAAACTTAGCCTCAGTCTTCCGAAGGCAAATGATCTTCATAACTCCCTCTTCTGCAGTTGCCACTTTCCCTAAACCGCAGGTCTTCCTGACTTGCAGCAGGGCCAGGCCAGATTACAGTTATGTGGTAGATCTGTCAGGCAAGTTTTGACAGGGCCTCAAAATAGACCCTGGACACCATCCAGGGAAACCACCACTCGGGAGTTCCAGCTTCACCGCACTTGAGCCTCTCAGTACTTATTTCTTGCTGGTCTCTCATTTCAAAAAGACAAAGGCTCCTGAACCTCACCCTGGACATGAGACACCTATACAACTTCAAATTTAAATTTTGAACCTCCCTTATTCTGTTCACCAACTCTTTGCAGAATAGTCTAAATCTATACCTATTTCCTCTTTGACACAGGAATTCACCAACACTGCTCTGGATTACAGAGGGATTTCTGGCTCTCGGGTCCCATCACCTACCTTGAATAGACAAACTCGAATTGTAAAAGATAAGGAAGAAATGGTGTGTCTTTTATTTCCTTTATGACTAATTTCAGTTAACTTTAACAGAGCAAAAACATAAGCTATGTAAAGCTGGGTTTTTTTATTTTTTTGTTATTTTATGTATTTAATCCTAACAGGCCTAGAACTGGCTATACACACTTCACAGAGATCTGCTCTGCCTCCCAAATGCCAGGATTAAAAGTGTGTGCCACCATACCCCACTATATAAAAGTTTTTAATTAACAGAAAATATAAACTCTGAAACAAACCTAAAAGGTACGGTCATTTTACCATATATAAGTGGTTTACGTTTGTCGACACCAGGGTTAAACTACAGTATTTTGACATTTACCAGTTCAAATTAATTATCTGACATTCCAAAATGTCTTAAATTGACTTATAAAACACATTTGAGACAGGGTCTTATTGCATGCTGTTTAGACTGTGGTAGCCTCGAACTCTCAAAAACCTGGCTTAGCTTCCTTCCCAAATGCTGACAACAGGCACATGATATGAAGCCCAGTTCACAGTAAAGTAATCTCTAAATTCTTCCTCCTCCTGCGGCTGAGAAAACATTATCTTCTATTATAAAATGGAGTCTAGTATAAAACAAATTTCTCATGTTCATAACCTCACCAACCTCAATCAGAACTACACGCCACGGGTATACTTACAAACTGCCAAACACTTGTTCAAAAGTTTTTCTATAGCACTGTTTACAGAAAGAAGACTGAAAATGACCTAATGTTTACTAGCAGGGATTTAGTAAAACTACAGAAAATTAATAAATCCAGTCTGCAGAAAGGAAACTTTTTTCCCTCATATGACAGTTTCTTTATGCTTATCAATCTTTAAAAGGCTCACAAACACCACTGGACCCATATCACCAGCATTTCTTTCTATGTATGTCATTTTCCCCTCTTTTTACTGTCTCTGTTTTTACCTATTTCTTTCCCTACCCCTGGACTAAAAGAAGAGCACACAGGCTGCAAGTCTCCGTGACTACACAAGAAACAGCACTCTCTCGGCTCCCCATGCCAACCTCCAGAATGAATAACTAACTGAACAAATGAAAACATACAGCACAGAAGACCAGCTTTGCAATTTACAATTTTAGTCTAAAATATAATTGTTTTTAAGTCTAGACTAATTTACTGTTGAGCAAAAGTTTGAAAGGTTAAAGTGCAAAGTGCAATGTCAGTCACTCATTTCCCAAGATAGTCCTCCCACCTATTAGCCTTCAGGGAGAAAAATGGAGAAAGGGATGAAGATATTTCACTCACAGAGTAAATCCTGCTCAATTCCTTCCCTTCTAAGGTTTTAAAAAGCTGAGCTTTGAATGTTAATTAGAGTATTCTTTATCTGCAAACTGGATAAGGTAGTATGTCTTCCCAGGAAAGGGATCAATTCCCCCATCCACTCTTCAGAGAGAAAACAACTATCTAAAAGGAAAAGGCTACAAACCACATTGCTCTGTAGGGATAGCAGATAGCTCTCCTTGGAAAGGGACAGAACAATTTCTTTCCTTTTCAACAATCCTCATCAATGCGCTCACTCCCACCTTGCACAAGAAGGCTCACCCCACCTCATCACATCGTCAGCTCTGCTCCTTCTCACTCCAGGAACAGGTAAGCAATTCACAAAGACCTCTACCAGAACTCACTCCCTCCTTCTTCATGAAACACTTGTTTCTGTATTACAAAAGAGTGATACCCTACCAAATAAATTTCCTATCTCTTTTCCTTCACTATGGAGATTCTTTAATCCTAACCTAAAAAGATTTCCCTTAAGTATGTATGTATCATGGCTGTCCCCAGTAAGGTTTTCACAAGGGATTTTCCAAAGGGAATCTTTGTTTACAAGGAACAGAAACCCCTAAGTCATCATCTTATCAGCAGGACAAAAACAAAAAGCAACATTAGGGAACACTCTGAATGTAAGAATGGATACCCAAAGTAAAGAAGATGCCAAAATGTGGTCAAAGAATTAAAGGAATGTCTGTCTTAAGCAACAACGATAAACTAAACTTGATATTACTTTCCAATTAATCAATAGGATTTCTAACTGTCAATCAAGGTAAAATAGTCAGGTCTCTAAAAACAAAAAACAAAAAAAAATCGGGCAAACAGGTCATCATTATCAAGAACTGTGGGATACAAAGTTATTTTGCATCTCATTTTGAAAGACTAAAATGATCAAATTACACTGCAGCAATAAAAAAAAATTTTCTAGTTTGAAATTAATTGATTCTAAAAATAACCCAAAACTTCAATACACAATTCCTTCCAGAACAGAACAGAAGTTAGTGTAGACTCATTCAACATTTTTCAAGCTAGAATGCCAAGTTCTCCAGCTTCCCACTCAAAAAGCTATTTTATATAGTACAGACTCTCCCACAGTACTTTTTCCTACCTTAGTGTCGGTAGCTCTCCTTTCCACTGACATTTATTTGGCATCTAAACCCCTTCATTTGTCTTCCCACATCTGGTTTAAAAAAAAAAAAAAAGAGGGGGTAAAAATCACAGCAGTCCATGTAGTAACTAACAAAGGATTATAAATCAAAACATTCTGCAAGCTTTTAAGTTTTATTTCCAACCGCAGTGCATGACAATAACCACCCAACAACAGACAAAACCAAACATTAAACATCACTTGCTACAAAAAGAGTAAAATTATCTAATTAAACGGGGAGAAACAAACTTAGCTTTCCACTATTTCAATATGAAGATCCGTATCAATGATTCACACAGTGAGTGTGACCTCACTTCCTATATGAATCACACTTTCCGAAAGTCTTATTCGGTATGGGTCTATTAAATAGAGGAGGTCATCATCCCTCTGTAGCTGCTAAACAGAGCGTGATGCGGGTTAAACCGGGCTAGCTCTTCAAGACACTCAAGCCCTGGTAAACTTGGCCAGCTAACTCTCCCTGCAACGCTATGCACTCTCCAGTAATAGCAGCTTTTCACACCTTCTCCTCCGGCATACACTGGGGTTTGAGGAACCGGCAAGCACTGATTAAGAATGTATCCATCCGTACCCTGCACTCTAGCTCCTCATTCCTTTTCTGCATCTCTTCCCATTGTGATAACACAACACAAATAGCGGTCACTCTTTATCCTTATACCGCTTGGAGTCAATCAGCCTACTGTACAAAAACTGTGACAAAAATGCTGAGTCACTAAATGGGAAAATCAAAAAGCGCTACAAATAATGAAAGTTTAGGGTGCCCTTTAGTCATGTTCCAGCATTTTGTCTGTACGTCTCGAGGTGGGAAAAAAAAAATACATAAAGCAAACACTTTAACTTTTCTCCTCTATTTTCTTACGTCCCCTGTTTCCTGCTGGTCAGCCACAGCAAAGGAAAACCAGGCCTGACTAGAGCTATGGAACTCCACACCACAGTGTGGGTGTAAATAACGCCCCGTATTAGTCAAGCATTAACCCTGGCCGTCCTGCCCTGAGTCTGTTAAGCCCGCGCTTCAATTCAGATCAAGAAGGAAGCACCGGGGTGGGGGGGGGGGGGTATCTCATTTTAAAAAGCTACGCCCTCCACCGGCTTGACACGGTTCCCGGGGCGGCTCCTCCAGGGACAGACCGAGAACAGAGGGAATGTGGCGCTGGGAGCAACGGGAGCTGGGGCACCCAGCTGTCCCAAAAGATGCCCGGTCCAAGGGGCGTAACCCCTTCTTTCCTCGCGGGGGGTGGGGGTGGAGGCGGGAGCCGGCGACTCGCCAGGCGACCCCAGCCCGGAGCAGCGCCTCGAGACAGCCGGGCCGGTCGCCTGCCCTTACCTGCGTGTGGAGCGGGCTGAGGCAGCGGCGCCGCCCGGAAGGGCCGGAGCGGCAGCCCGGGAGCGGAACGAGGGGCGCGGCGGCCACACTCGGTCCCGACACCGTCCACCGCGCGGGCCGCAGGGAGGCAGAAGAGGGGCTCCTCGCTCCGCGGCCGGTCACGCAGCCACACTCAGGGTGCCCTTCACGCCGCGGCCGGGACGGCGAACGAGACCCGGGATGAGCCGCAGCCCGAGCGGCGGCTGCAGCTGCGGCGGTGGCGGGGCAGAGGGGCGGGGCCACCGGCCGGCGACCCGCTCACCCGGAAGTAGTTGTGGAGGGCGGCGGGTTGACGGGCGCGCGCGGCACAGAGGGTACCGCCTGGATCGCGGGGCGGCCGGTGCGCCTCGTATGATGGAGCGGGTGGCGGGGAGGGCGACTCGCTATCGCTCAAGCCCGGCCTGGTCCCGAGAGTTGGTACCGGAGCTTTTTGTGACCGTACTTAGCCTCGTGGCCTCTAAGCGGTCTGGCGGCAGGGCTTGGGGGTAAGTGAGACACCTGGCGCGCCTACTGTGGGCAAGGATGAGGAGGGTGGGTGTGTCTGGCGAGATGAAAATACCTGATTTTAGAGAGATTTCCAGCTAAGGCTGTAGCCCAGTTAGTAGGGTACTTGCTTAGTATACCTGTAGCCTTGGGTTCCATTCCCAGCATAAAACCAGGTATGTTGTCCCAGGTACTCCGGAGCCCGTGGCAGAGCGTCGGAGTTTGAATCACCACAATGAGACCCGTTCACACACAGGTGCGTACCAAACTGTGGGCCTGTCCTTCAGTCCCCCATATCTGGAAGCCCAGCAGGCTCAAAGTTCAAGGCACCGGAAGACCAGCGCCTGCTCTCGGGGAAACTTGCCTTCTAATTGAGTAGATGAACGTGAGCAGATAAACAAGGTAATGACAGATTGTCGTGAAACTCAGCAGCAAGCAATGGTGAGAAAATTTTAAGGGTGGGGTCTCTGGCTGGGGAAGATGGTCAGAGAAGACCTCTAGCAGGAAATGATAGTTGATCAGGTATCTGGGGGAAAGGGCACAAAATGCTCTTGGATTCAACCTCCCACCTACGAAGACGGCAGCTTTCAGAAGCCCCGGATAAGCCCACAGGTTCCGTGTTAGGATTTTGTCTAATGGCTTCAAGAAGGGCTTACTGGGTTGGCCATTGCCACTGAGACATCAAAGGATTGGTCAGCCTTAGAGTTCATGGGGCTGTCACTATGGCATCGATCCTGGAGGTTCAGCACACACGGAAAAGTATGCTAAGACAAACTGTGTATATCTGTCTGTCTGTCCACACACTCTTGGCATACATGAGGAACAACCTCGGATGATTCCTCAAGACCCATGATCCCTTTTTTTTTTTTTTTAAGACATTAAATCTTTCATTGACCTGGGATTCACCAGGTCGGCAAAGCCGGCAGCCTCTCCAGAGCTGGGATTATAGGCATGCGCCACCACACCTGGCTTTCTTTTTCTGTAAAAATAGGCAATGAGGAAGTGTTCTGAAGCAGCTTTAAAAGTTCACCGTTACCTCTCCTTCATATGTTGCCATCTTTGGCAACAGAAACAGCAGCTGGTCCTCTTGTCGTAAGAGCTGTGGTATCAAATGATTCGAATGTCGTGCAGAATGCTGGGACAGACACTAACGTTCTGTCATCACCAGGAGTTCCTGACCGCAGTCTGGAACCCTGGGTTATATTGTGGGCAGTCTTCCTCTGCACATTAACTACTTTCTGCCAAAAATATCTGTTCCCAGATCTCTGTGGAATATTTTGACATGTGAATGCCCCAGGTCTGCGTGGGCTGGCTGCTCTGGGGATATATTAATAGATGAAGGAAAATTTTGCAAATGTTTATGCAGCTTTGGAGAATGAGATGGCTGGATCTGTACCTATTTATTCTTTCCTCAACAAATCTTTCATAGTTTTCCTTGATGTCAAGAAATAAAGCTTTTCCATTTTTAATAACAAATACTCACTGCTGTGTTTACTTGTCTGAATCAGGTATTATACTTTTTATTTCTGTTATTGTGTTAGTTAGTTAGTTAATTAGTTAGTTAGTTAGTTAGTTAGCTTTTTGAGACAGGGTTTCTCTTTGTTAACAGCCCTGGCTATCCTGGAACTCACAGAAATCTTCCTGCCTCTGCCTCCCAAGTGCTGGGATTAGAGTTATGCGCCACCACCGCCACCCAGCTATTTCTACTATTGTAATAGGTGAAAATAGATATATTTTTACATAAATTTCTCTTATGACATTAATGTGTTTTTCATGTTTCTCTTGTTTTTTCGTATTTTTAGACAAAATTGTCTTGGCAAAAGCAATACTATGTTTCTTTGTTTGAAACACATATCTGGAAACATCATTAGTTCAAACATTAAAAATGAGCTGCTTGCTATGAATTGTGTTTGCTTGCATGAGATCAAGCCAGTCACAATTTCAGCATGGGTGGCAGAGGAGCTCCTGAGACTCCAACCTCAGAACCAAGGAGCTATTGGCAACTGTTGGCCGCTGAAGAAAAGAGAGTAACTTTTCTGTGTGTGTGGCCATGCTCCAGTGGATGGCCCCACACCTGTGTACATATGGCCAACAATGATTGGACTCAGGGGCTGGAAAGATGTCTCAGTGGCTAGGAATACATACTGCTCTTTCAAAGGCCTAAGTTTGACTCCTAACACCCACACTGTGTGGCTTATAACCATCACTAACCCCAGTTCAAGGGAAATCTGCCACCTCTGGCCTCCCTGGGCACCTGCACTCACTTGTACATATTCGCACAGACACACACACATGTGCATGTAATTAAAAATAATAAAGATAAACCATAAAAATAATAATTGGTCAGGACTATTAATAATAATAATTTTAAAGTTGAGAGGAAAATGGATTCTGAGGTTCCAGGGGGAAAATAGAGGGAGGTAGTGGGGTGGGGTAGATAAGATCAAAATACATTATATGCAAGTATGAAATTTTCAAAAAATAAAAAGATCTTTTAATGGGCTGGTTGGACTAGGGAAATGGTTCCACAACTAAAGCACTTGTATGCACAGAATCCACATACATGCTAGGCAAGTATAGAGTTCATCTGTAATGCTAGTATTAAAAAACAGAGACAGGATCTCCAGGACAAGCTGGCTAGCCAGGCAAGTCATGTCCATCAACTTGGTGTCAGACTGAGAAACCCTGCCTCAATGAATATGGTGCACACACCTACACGTTTGTTAACACAGTGCACATGGCTCATGTACACAAGAAAAAGTAGGCTGCCACTTTGTAAGTCACTGTGTGTGCATGTACATGCGTGTGTATTGGGAGCATTTTTAAATTTTTTGTTTTCTTAATAAGCCTATGGAAACCTGGTAATATAATTGTCATAGGCTATGTATGTTTATTTTTTTTATTTATTTATTTATTTATTTATTTATTTGGTTTTTCGAGACAGGGTTTCTCTGTGGCTTTGGAGCCTGTCCTGGAACTAGCTCTGTAGACCAGGCTGGTCTCGAACTCACAGAGATCCGCCTACCTCTGCCTCCCGAGTGCTGGGATTAAAGGCGTGCGCCACCATCGCCCGGCTTATTTTTTATTTTTTAATTTATTTATTTATTAAAAATTTCCACCTCCTCCCATTTCCCTCTCACTCCTCCCTTCCTCTTCCCCTCCCTCTCAGTCCTAAGAGCAGTCAGGGTTCCCTGCCCTGTGGGAAGTCCAAGGTCCTCCCCGCTCCGTCCAGGTCTAGGAAGGTGAGTGTCCAAACAGACAAGGCTCCCACAAAGCCAGTTCATGCAGTAGGATCAAAACCCAGTGCCATTGTCCTTGACTTCTCACTCAGCCCTCATTGTCTGCCACATTCAGAGAATTCGGTTTGATCACATGCTCCATCAGTCCCATTCCAGCTGGCCTTGGTGAGCTCCCATTAGATCAGTCCCACCATCTCCATGGGTGGACTTCACCCCTTGTGGTCCTGACTTCCTTGCTCATGTTCTCCCTCCTTCTGCTCCTCATTTGGACCTTGGGAGCTCAATCCAGTGCTCCAATGTGGGTCTCTGTCTCTATCTCCATCCATCACCAGATGAAGGCTCTATAGTGATATGCAAAATATTCATCAGTGTGGCTATGGGACAAGGCCAGTTCGGGCACCCTCTCCTCTGCTGCCCAAGGAACTAGCTGGGACATCTCCTTGGACACCTGGGAACCCCTCTAGAGTCAAGTTTCTTGCCAACCCTAAAATAGCTCCCTTAATTAAGATATCTACTTCCCTGCTCCCATATCCACCCTTCCTCCATCCCAACCATCCCATTCCCCCAAGCTCTCCCCAATCCTCCCCTTCTCCCTTCTCTCTCCCTATCTTCCCTTACCCCCACCCCACCCCCACCCCATGCTCCTAACTTTTGCCTGGCAATCTTGTCAACTTCCAATATCCAGGAGGATACCTATATGTTTTTCTTTGGGTTCACCTTCTTATTTAGCTTCTCTAGGATTACGAATTATAAGCTCAATGTCCTTTATGAATGACTACATACCATATTCATCTTTCTGGGTCTGGGTTATCTCACTCAGTAAAGTGTTTTCTATTTCCATCCATTTGCATGCAAAATTCAAGATGTCATTGTTTTTTACTGCTGAGTAAAACTCTAAAGTGTATATGTGCTCTTTTAATATCATCTGTGTGTGTGCATGTGTCTTACCCAAAATTCCTTATTAGTATCATCTTACATACCTATAGTCATTTTGTTCTGTTTTGTTGATTTTCAAGACAGGGTTTCACTATGTAACCCTGACTGTCCTGGAACTCACTCTGTAGACCAGGTTGGCCTCGATCTCATAGAGATCCACCTGCTTCTGTCTCCTGAGTCCTGGGATTAAAAGTGTGCATCATCACTACCTGGCTCCTGAGTCCTGGGATTAAAAGTGTGCATCATCACTACCTGGCTCCTATAGTGCATTTTTAAATCTAGATTTTTAGTTTTTGTTTTATATTAAAAAGGTTCCACTTTACAGTAATTCGTTTCTGTGTTATTCATTTGGTTATATTTAATTTGGCTCTTTTCCTTTACTAAATAAGCAGATGTCAATAGCAAATAAATCTGCCATGTTTTTCATCTCAGATTATGTTTATTTTTCAAAATTCTGCCAGAGCCAGGTCTGGTGGTTATATTAGTTCCTCATCTGTTACTGTAATAAAACACTGTGACTGAGGCTATGTACAGAAGGAAGGGTTGTTTGGGCTTATGATTCCAGAGGGAC